CAAAAATTTTATTTTAGTAATGATCATCATTTTACACAAAATAAAATAAGCCAATCACAGGGAAAGCCCGCTATGTTCAGAAAACCATCATCATAATTTTTTGCAAGTAATCAACAAACAATATATTACTAACAAAATTTACATCCTTCTAATTAAAAAAAGGCCAAGACAAAATAAGCAAACTCCGCATTTAAAACAAATCAGATAACGAATTGCATCAAGTGAAGAAAACAGATAAAGAAATTGATTATATGAATTATTTGAATTATTCATTTTATTTGTTTATTCAAATTATTCATTTTACTTGAATTATTCATTTATTCGTTTATTCGTTTATTTGTTTATTAGAATTATTTGTTTATTTATTTTTTCAAGTAAAAATTTATTTGGGTATAATTTGAATACAAACTCATAATGGTTGAGTCATGTGTTTTATAAGACCTTAACACCAAAGAATATCATTGCTATTTTGGGATTTGAATATTTGGCAATGCAGCGCACAGTACACCGAGTAATTTAAACCTTCGTGGACGATTAATCTACTGTAAGATCAAAATTCGCATCTCACAATGAATCTCAATATTTTATTATACTAATATACCAACCAACAATGTTCATACAATTTCTTCTAATTCATTTATTATTTTATTAAATCGTAACAACAATTTCCGCGAATGTATATTTATGCTTCACTCTCAAAATTATCTTTCACTCGTTACACAATTCCTTATACTAAGAAATACTAAACAATATCTTCTTTTGATTTTTTGATTTTACGCTATATATCCTGGTCACGTTTCTTGGTGGGTGCCCTTCTAGCCGTTTTCCTCTTTGCTACCAAGTCAGGTACGTCTCCAAAACTACCAAATAAAATTTATTAAATATTACCCACTAAAAGAAAAGAGAGAAATAAAAAAATAATAAAAAAATAGAGACCAAATATAAAATATGAGAAAATGGTTATGCACAGAATTAGTATGTATTCTTTGTTAGAGATAGATTTATTATCATTACGAAAATATAATATTCGAAGACAATAACAACAAGGACAAGGACAAGGACAAGGACAAGGTTGAGGACAGTGTTATTTATTGAACGATCATCACCATGATTGATTAATTAATTGATTAAAGATTGTTTGATCCAAGATATGATTATAGTAGACCGCATGATCGCTACGACCGACCACCAAGAAGTTATGGTCGAGAGCCCTACTATGAGCGAGGAGGGTTTGATAGATCGTCATCGTATTATGATAGAGGAGGCTATGATAGGGGAGGATATGATAGGGGAGGATATGATAGAGCATATGATAGAGGATATGATCGTGAGAGAAGATTACCACCACCTTCACGTTATGATCAATATCCAAGACCTCGTTCTCCATATTAATTAACCAACTTTATATATATATATATAGGGAAATGACAATGGCAATTGAAATAATGCTATGCGCAATTATTATTTGATATAATAATAATAATAGTAATAATAACTTTTTTTTTTTAGTTTGGATCTATTTGATACACATATATACGTGTGTGTATATATATATATGGATGATAGTTTATTTTATTAATTAATTAGATCAAATTTTGTTAAATTTCGCCGTCCATTTTAGAGAAAAAAATCTTTATATTTTATTTTATTATTTTATATTACTTTTATTATATTTTAATTTTTTTTTTTTCAGGTTGTCATTAACAACAAAAAAAAAAGAAACTCTCACCCAAAAAATATCTATTCATTAATTCATTCATCGATTTCATTCAATTATTCAGCAAAAAAATATTTTTTCAAATTTTTAGCTTTCTTAAATATAATATATTGTTATTATTGATTATTATTACAGCAATTAAATCAACAATTATTTTTTAGAAAATTATTTAGAATAGATTAGAATAGTGATTGGTTAGTTCGAATGGTTAATTAGTAGTGATGATGCTTATACATCAACATATTATTACAACTGTTCTCAACTCACTAAACACAACAAAAAAAATAAAAAATCTCATCATTGGCAACATGTGTATGACAAAATAATCGTCTTTTTCAGTTTTCATTTTTTTTTTTAACAACATTACAAAAAAAAATTCATTATTTTGATTTCACCCACATACTATATACGTGCATCCACATTCGTTCATTCAAATTCACCTACAAAAAAATTTCAAAGTCACATCCGCAAACATTCAATTCATCCACCCACACATGCAATATTAATTAATTATTATTTTCAGCATTAATAACTTTAACAAAGTTTTTGGTTGGAGTTTTTCATTTTATTTTTATTTGATAACTTTATAAAATTTGCGAATTCTTTTTATTTTCTTTTTCTTTTTTTTTTAGGATTGAAATTCAATAAGGTGATAACTTCCTTGCATATACAAAAAAAAAACTCATGATTATGATTTTCTATGTCACGGAATAATATCTGTAGCACAAAATGAAGATTTGTATAAAAATGCCACGGGAGTAGTAAAATAATCATAAAGATGCAGGGAAGAAAGGCGAGATTTTTTTATTTGAAGCAAAGAAAAGAGGGAGATCTGAAAAATTAAATGATTAAAGAAATTAAAGGTAAATAAATGGAACATTGATTAGTATTGTTATTATTATTACTGATATTAAAAAAAAATAGATTTTGAATTAAATAAAAAGCGAAATTTAAAAATTTTCATCATCATATAAATTGTTTCTTCCATTAAAAGGATCTCAATAGATTCCTGAATAAGTCTCTATTCATGTTTTATTTAATATAATAGATTTTTAATAATCTATAAGACATCAAAACTCTTCTTTTGTCAGCTTGCTAAATATTTTTTTAATAGTCTGTCTTGCATGTGCTTATATGTAGAAAAATTTGGTTTAAAGATTTTGTGCTCTTGAAATCATTACTATGATTACTTTCTAAGATATGTAATATATCTGTGCCAGCTAACACTACTCTTACCCATGATCATCTGAAATAAAATCAGCTAAAGTTATATTTTTGTCATGATTTGACCTGATCACATTCACATTTAATACTAAAAATCCCAACCCACTTGCAAAAAATTTATTAGTTACATTTCTTCTGACTTAGGAACCATTTATAAAATATGGTCTAAACCATACATGTTGGCCAAAATTATTTCTGTTCATTGCCAAATTCAAAATGTCGAAATAGTTTTCATAGTAGCCAAAATTAATTTTAATAGTGGCCAAAATTATGTCAAAAATTATTTGAATTCTTTGATTCAACAGCCAAAACTCTGGGGTTTTTTTATGACCATTAATATAAGGAAAAGCCAGAATGTTGTCAAAACATTTGGCAAACGCAAAACCAATTTTGGCTAACATGTATGGCCTAAACTTCATTTGATATCAAATAAATTTTTACAAAACCTATCAGTATATACAATCTGTGCTTTGTATCAGCATGGCGGGCTTTCTATGATTGGCTAATTTCATTTTTACATTACGGTTTAAATTTAAATGAATTGAGTTATGAAGCCTTAAATAAAGATAAAAGATTGTTTAAAACTGCATCTACAGAAGAATCCAAAGAAATATTTTCTCTATCATCTAATTACTTTCATCATCATCACCATCACTATTTTCTATAATTGAATTATCTTCAGAATTTAAACTATTTCGAAAAATGTTAGAATTGTCAATGGTACCTTTTGTTAAATATTCATTGCAATAAATGCATTGTCCTGAAAGATTTAACAAAAAGCATTCATAATGATGAATGACCACATTCCAAATTATAACCAAAGCTCACAGTTGTATAACTTTGCTGTTTCTGGCACTGCTCAAATAATTTTACTAGATTTTTTATATCATTTATATCCACAAGGTGTTTCAGAGACTAATTCCACGTCATTTTCAACATAATTAAGCTTATACCATAGCATATTAAATTTTTTTTCTAGCCACATAGAAATGTTGTTCCAGGCCACATCAAAGAAACAGAAATATATCTACTGAAAACTCTTCTTTGAATGATCAACAGGCCGTTGGAAACAACAATTCTATTAGTCAACCAGCTGGCGAAAATGTTAGTGAACGTATGGTATTTAATATTCTTTGGAAATCTGCTAGTAATGTAGTAACTATAAGATGCAGAATCAATAAATTAAGTATTCCTAGTGCTGTCCTCAATAGCGGTGCAAATTTCTCTATAATGTCATTAAATATTGCTAAAAAATTGGGACTTGATATAGATAGAAACAAAACCGCTTCTCTTGAAGGTATAGCTACTGAATCTGATACCATTGGGTGGGTATTTTGAGGTCGAAATCCGCGTCTCACAGTAAATCTCAATATTTTATTATTTGTTAATACAATTTCTTCCAATTTATTTATACTAAATCGCAACAATAATTTCTGTGAATGTATATTTATGCTTTACTCTCAAAACTATCTTTTACTATCATTAAACAATTTCTTATACTAAGAAATACTAAACAATATCTTTTTAGATTTTACGCTATGTATCCTGATTACGTTTCTTGGTGTGTGCCCTTCTAGCAGTTTTCCTCTTTGCTACCAAGTCAGGTACGTCTCCAAAACTACCAAATAAAATTTATTAAATATTACCCACTAAAAGAAAAGAGAGAAATAACAAAACTATAAAAAAATATAGACCAAATATACGATATGAGAAAATGGTTATGCACGGAATTAGTATGTATTCATTGTTAGAGATAGATTTATTATCATTACGAAAATATAATATTCGAAGACAATAACAACAAGGACAAGGACAAGGACAAGGACAAGGTTGAGGACAGTGTTATTTATTGAACGATCATCACCATGATTGATTAATTAATTGATTAAAGATTGTACATGAAGTTGAGAAAATTACAACGTTATTTATACATGTTAAAGGTTCTATCTAGTTCTTCAATTTCTTTGAAATTCTAATTAAATGTATTACCTGAACCTTCTGCGTAGAATTATTTTAAAGTTATTTCTAAAGTGATTCAATCATTTAAATTTTTTCGTTCAAACTAATCCAAGAATTAAAGGACTGTTACATTTAGAATGTTGGAATATTTATTTCTCCGTTGTTTGAGATATTTTTTGTAAGTCAATTATTTTATTGGTGATTGAAAAATTGGGCTGGTTTGAATATGAATACTTGATCAGTTTTCCGATTTTATTTGCTTACTGGTACATAAAATAGAAGGTAGTGGATTAGAACGGGGTTGGGAATCGTACACGTACACATACATGTATCGTATGTACGTACGTACGTATGAGCTTAAAAATTTTTTAGTACAATGTACGAACATATCATGTGATTATGATCATTTTTATTGGTTGATCAAATGTAATATATATACAGTCAGACCTCCATAAGTGCACCCCCCTTGGGACCGAGGGACACCGTGCATTTATGGAGGGTGTGCATTTATAGAGAGAAGCAATTTCATTGGTTGCACGTGTTACACGATTTTTTTTAAAAAAAATATATATATTAATAAATATATTTATATTTAAAAATTTAATTAATATCAAAAATAACTATCCATTGTAGTTTGTTTTGATGAATTTACTCTTTTTACATTGATATATCTTTCGATTTTATTAACCAATTTTATTTGTTCACTAGCATTTTCTTGCTGTAATAAAAATGCATGTACAGTTTCAAGACTTTTTAATGCTTCCTCATGGCTTATTGTTGGTTGTTCATCATCCGGAAAATATAAAAAAATTTTACACATGTCAATTGTAAGTTTAATAATAAAAAAGTGTAAAACTTACGTCAGCACTGTAAGATTTACACAATATTACGTCGGCATCGTAAAATTTATGCAAGTTTACGCTAAATTAATTTCCTGATGATTGCTATCATCATCTTCATCAAAATCATCATCAAGTATATTCATATTATTTTTATATATTTCTGCAAGTTCTTCAATAATTTTATTGTCCTCTGGAACCTCATAGACAATATTTTCTTCAGGGATATTCAAAAATTCATCAACTTGAATTTATCAAATAGGTTAAGGGTGGCGAGTATTTCTGAAAGTTCATTCAATGTTGAGTCATCTGTTGTTCTAATATTATCAGACATATTTGATAATTCTGCATTAATACCAGCTGGAAGGATGTTGGTGTGTCTCCAACAGTTACAAAGAGTTTCAGGTGTGATTTCTTCCCAACTTTTTATTACAAATCTTATTGCCTGCAATATATTCATTTTTAAATCTTCTATTTTCTCACCTTTTTCAATTTCATCTAGCAACCATCTTTAAAAAAATCATGTAAATACTCAAAAATTAAAACAATAATCATAAGACAAAAAATAAGTACATACTTGACATGATGATGTCTATAATGCCTTTTAAATGACATAATTATTCCTGCATCCATTGGTTGGAGTTTTGAAGTGGTATTTGGAGGTAGGAAAAGAACATTGACATGTGAAAGTGCCAAACCACCTATTTTATGGCTTGGACAATTATCAAGTAGCAACAAAACATGCTGACCATTGTATTTTTGAAGTGGCCTTTCAAAACTAGTTTAGATATTATTAAAAATCTCTTCGAAACTAATTTTGAAAAAGGAGGAGTTTATGCTCTCTATGACGACATTTTTTATAAATGAACATTAAATAAACCACATAACCGAACTTCTCATTTCAATTTTTTTTATTATTATTAATTCTCAAAGTACAAAAATACATATAGCTCAAAAATTTCATTAAAAATAAGATTATACAAATAGCCATTATAAAATTGAGTTATATCTATTTTTTGTAAATTTTTGAATAAATTACATGTTTTGATTATTCAGATCCATTGTATTATTAATTGTATCTCTGCATCTTAACCAAATGAAATCTTGTCCCAACTCAACATATTGTTGTTCCAATTCAACATATTGTCGTTCCAATTCAACATATTGTTGATTCATCGTCATAACACGATTTCTAATCATCAACAATCGATCAGGAATTCTTAAAACTAAAGGAACACTATTAATACCGTGATGAATATTGGACGAAACAATATTTAAATTTAGGTTATCATTATAAATTGTAGGCAATGATGTGAGCGAGTTGTAAAATAATGGTTGTTGCTGTTGTTGTTGAGATAAAGCTTGAGTCACCATCATATTGTCATTGTTGTTGCTATTTTGATTATATTGCCCATAATTTTGAATTTGTTGGTAGACATGTTGAACTTGCTGAATTTGTTGTTGTTGATCAAGATTTTGAACTTGCTGATTGATATTTTGTTGAATTGGTTGGATTCGTTGGCCTTGATTTTGCTGTTGTTGAAAAAGATGTTGATTGGAATTTTGAATTAATTGGGTTTGTTGGTCTTTATTTTGTTGCTGGAAAAAATTTTGATTAAAATTTTGAATGGGTTGGATTGGTTGGTCTAGGTTTTCTTGTTGTAGAATATTCATTTTGTAATTAGACTTAATTTTGATTTTTTTAATTTTATTTTATTGCAAGAATTAGTGGGATTATTGGAAAAAACCGCCGGATTTTATATTTAATCAAGGAAAATGTAAATTCTCAAAATATTCTTGAGTTACTATTTATTATACACTAAAAAAAAAAAATATTCCGTAGGAACAATTTTTTCACCTTACTCAAATTTCTTTTGATTGTACCAAGATTGGTTTTCGGAAATATTTTGGAGTGTAGAAAGTGTTTCAGCAATGATGAATATTAATATTTCCAGCATGTGTAAAAGCCGAATAGAAATATACGACAAAAGCAATGAGTGAAAGCATAAAATTCAAATTTAATTATACGAGCCTTCATCAAAAAGAAACAAAAACAAAAATTTTAAACATTTTTTTTACATCATAAATCATGTTGTTTAATTGGATACTTCTTTTTGATATAAAGTTGCTTATAATAAGCATATTGGGGCTATTTGCTATATTTGATCAATTTAGTAGAAATTGCAGCTTCTTTATTATTGTGGTTCCACGACTTTCTTCGGAACATATAGAATCATCTGTAGTGTTCCTGACCATAATTATAACTTCATACTTGTAATTATTCCGGACACTTGTAATTATTTTTAGATGCTCATGATTATTTTGGATACTTGTAATTATTTTGAATGTCATTATTTCAGATATTTGTATAAACTCTAACAAACTATTATTAATTTTTTCTTGTTATTAATTGATAAAGTTTCTTTTTGGACACTATCAATTTGATCGTTCATTTCAAGCTATATATCATCATACAAATCAAAAAAATCACCATCATTTTTTATCAGGTGTAAGAATATTATGTATATAATTGAAGTATTAGGATAATTTTCTGCAAATTCCATTTGGGTTTTGAAAGAATTACTTTTTAAATGATAACAAATATTTTAATAGTTGTAAAAATATATGTTATCTTTATTATCTTTGAAAAATGTTTGCTATATATTAGGATAAGTTACAAATAAAGTTTCGATAATCATTCATGAATTGTTACAATATTATATTAACAAATGTTTGAAATGATTATATTCAAAATAAATACAAGTATCCAAAATAAATACAAATATCCAAAAATAATTACGAGTATCCAAAATAATTAGGAAATAAATTAATATCCTTGAATAAATTGATTTTCGAACATTTGTAAAAAATTTGATTTTCGGTTAGGAAACTAATCATCTGATAATTCTTGATCTTTTCCTGATTGTATCCACTCGTTATCTAAATTCCACGATTCCAGGTTTTTGGACAATATTTCCAAGATGCTAATTAGCCCTTGGATAAAAAAATAAAAGCAATTCCTTTAAGAATCCTTTAAGAAATGCCAAGCGAGCTCATAAAAACTAGATTTAGTTTTCACTTGTGACAATAATGAAGAATTTAAAAAGCAAATTACAAAGAATTTCAAACCAAGGAAGAATCCCATCAACAAACCGAGAACAATCCAGAAGGGAAATTGCTAACTCCATATTGAATTTATGCTTTTTGTTTTGTTACTTTAATTTATTGTGTGAACGTTATCTATCAATTAGGAATTAATAAAAATTGAAACAAGACACAAAGAAAAAAATTACTTTGTTGCATCTTTGAAACCATCATCATCCCATGATACTCCTCATACTTCCGCTACCGTACCTCCAAGTGTTCGAGGTCAATAATGTTTTCTTTCTGTCCAGCCCCTTTAGCTGTTTTTATTTCTGCCATAATGGTTTTTTTAATAATTAAGTTCTAATAATTTTATTTAAATAACAATTTTATACAAAAATATAACATGAAAAATTAATCTACATAAAATCTAAAAATTACAATAAGTATTTAAAAAGAATACGGCGAGAAAATCGCTCCTTATTAAATGATACCCAGATGATCATCTAAGGAAAGAGGAAATTACTTATAAGTTTACAAGAAAACATCAAGACAACAGATAAAAACCGAGTAATTACCTAATAAAAGCAGAAATCTTTGAAGGAAGAAAACTGATTAAATAATCGAGGAAGAGTTAGATAGTAATAAAATCAAATAGGTTGGTTCATCATCTTTTTTTCGAGATGTATAATCCTTGTATTCTGCTCAAGTCTTGATCCAATAAATGTTTTCAGATTGAACATGACTATTGGTCTGTAATCTGAAAAAATAAATACTTTTTAGATTATCAGCAACCTATCATCAATATGGTTCTTAAATTTTAATATTAAGGCTTCTAACAATATTATTGTTAAAGCTGCTATTGTTGGTGTGTTAGGATTATTATTGTCGTTGTTGTTATTGAATTGATGAATATTTGTTATTACCATCGTCAAAAAATTCCATAAACTCGGTTGGTTGAAATTTTCGTTATATTTTTTACGAAATTAAACATTTCGTTTTCTTTTTATTCCTTTTATCGTACTTCTTGCTCTCAATATTGAGCATTATCATTAGTACTGCTGTACAGAAAGATCTTTCAACATTAACACAAGTTTTTGCGGAGGTTTCAATAAAATCACAACCCAACGCTTTGGCCATATTCATTCCTTCTTCCCTTAACACTTCTCTTTTATCAATCTTGTCGCATTTATTTCCTACAAGGATCATCGGAACCTTTCCGGAGTCTTTTATCCTCATTATATGATCCTTGTGTCTTTCGATTCGTTCAAATGTTGGACGTGATATTAAAGAGTATACTAGAAGAAACCCGTCTGCATCTCTAATACACTGATCACGAAGTCCTATATATTCTTCTATCCCTGATGTACTTAACACTTCTACCACACAAGGTTGATCCTCAATTATTGCATTTATGGATAAATCCCTCTGAAAAGTTGCGCCGTATATATTACACAGCTGGCGTATTAGAGCACTCTTTCCAACACCGCAATCTCCTAAAACTGCCAACTTGTATAAAATCATCTTGTGCGATGTTGATTTTTATATTGTTATAAAAAGTATCGCCAATGTATATTTGTAAAAAAATAAAAAAATAAAGAAAGACAATTATTTTCTTAGAATGGAAAACAATAAATAGAAAGAAACCAGGATAATGTTTAAATGTAAATAAACTAATGAGTTAGAAAAATGAAGATAAAGAAAAGTATTTTTATACGGGTTCCACTAATTAAATTTGTATACTTGGATGTAACCACAACAAACAAAACAATAATTAATTGAGGCTAAGGCACACAGGTCTCGCTCGAACCACATATACAAAGGTAGAAAAGTATTAATGGTGATAGTAATAGTCCAAAATTTTTTTTTACCCAGATGTTTCATAAGACATGAAAAAAAAAGTAAACTCTTGCCTCATCTTTGTAAAAGTTTTGACAAAAATTTTAGTCATTTTTGATGAAAACATTTTACCAAATTATTTTGATTCTTCATGTGAAGTTGTGAGTACACAAAATATCTGATTGATAACAATAACACTCATCGTTAACCGCTTAAAAAACCCTTAATGTTTACTACCTAAATTGGTAACTTCATTCCTATAACCAGAAAGTAAAGTAATGTAAACATCCATTACCAAATTTAGAAATTAATGAATACAAATAATTAGTTGGCTAGAATGTTGATGTTAATTTTATTATTGGAATTCGTATTAAAGAACGTAGATGTGTGAATTATTTGATAAAAATATATTTTTTATTATAGTAATACATTTAGGACCCTCTATATTCATCACCAGAGAAATAAAATTCCGAGAAGCTCCGCTGGAATTTTTGAATTTCCATTTGGAATTAACTATTATAGAAAAAAATTGGTATATCCTGCTATTCATTAAAAATGGCAATGTAACCAACTGATTTAAAATCAAAAAAAAACTGGATACACAATTCAATTATGACGAGGAAGAAACGTGTGTAAGCACGTACGATCCGGTTGCTGTGCCACGTGGTCTAAATTTAGAAGATAGTAAATTGTGGGATTTAAAAAATTGTATGTAGGACAACAGCAAATTATATTTAAATTATTTACCCGTGTAATCAATAGAAATATCACAAAACACATAATTGTAATTGTTATAAAATAGGGATTATCTACAATGATATCATTTACGTGGAATCACATCATGCATTTTTTATATTGGATAAAACAAAATTTAATTTTCGTAAAAAAAACAGCAAACATTATAATTGTTACATGCACGAAAAAAATTTGTGTTCCCAAATAAACACAATTTTCTTATTCATTCAATCAAAAAATAATAAAATAGTATTTTTTGAGTAACATGGCTTGTTATTTGTTTTGGTTATCTTTGAAACACAATGAAAAACTTTTTGATTAATCAACGTCGTAAAACCATAACTACTTTATTATTATGGAAAAACAACATTCGTGATGCTTATACTTTGCACGAATTAACTTCCATTCCACTCTCTACAACATATTATTATACTATAATGAGATTTATTTAGACCCTAAGCAACGTTCTGGCAAACCCAGAAAACCTTCTCCTAAACAACGTTCAACTCGTTTCGAACTTGCAAATATTTTAAATAAACATTATTCTAATCTCAATATTAGTAATCGTACAGTACTTAATGAGCTTTATAGGCTGCAATATCGTTCCACCGTCCCAAAATCTATGCCTCTTCTTACCAACCAACACAAACAATGTCGTATAGAATTTACCATAAAATACAAAAGACAAATTTGGAACAAAGTCATTTTTTCCGACGAAACTGCATTATAAATGTTTAAAAATGCCCAAAAAGTATTTTATAAACCTGATAGTCAACCTCCACACAAGGCTATGGTAAAACATCTATACAAAATTCATTCCTAGGGCGCCTTTTTTGTAAAAGGTCTAATTGGTTTTTTTTTACTATATTATTTATGAATAGTGCTTTATATCGAAAATATTTTGACGGTAAATTTATTTGACAATGCAAATAATATCATGGGTACCTGTTGGATCTTACAACAAGATAACGACCCTAAAGAATGTTGGATTGGCCATTCAATAGCCCAGATCTCAATCCAATTGAGAATTTTTAAATGGGCGTGTTGAAAAGCAAGTCAATAGTATGTTAGTTAAAAAAAAACGGTTTACTGCAGAAAGGTTTTCGTGAAATAATTCATAAAGAATGGAAGGGAATCGACAAAAAATTTTTTGTTAATTTAATTCATAGTATGCCGTCAAGATTAAATGAAATAATTGAGAAAAATGGTAATATGATAAGCTACCAAGTAGTTTTAAGTAACCTAAATTTTGGCTTTTTTTCGTTGCGCAACAAATAAAAATCCTATTCTGAAACTTTTTTTGTGTCACTATATTTTAGAAAATCAGATCAAGTAAATTAATTATCTTCAACAAGATTATTATTTCACTTCTTGTCAACGAATTGCCATCTATGATGTGAAATAAATAGTACCAATGAGCATATGTTTATCAGATTTAACGATGGAAGCGTGATTCAAGGAATAAAATCAATTAAACCTACCTGACAAAGATGATAAAGGGCGAGATGAGAAAATGGCGACGATTTAGATGATGATGATAACAACAATAATGTTGTCAGTTAATATATGATAATAACGATGATGGTGACAACAATGATGATTATGATGATGAAGATGGTGTACCTATTGCCTCAGATAACATGCTACTTTTTGAGTACAAAAAAAAAGGATTTGCCTTCAAGTCAAGGTGTGGACAGTATTGTTGCTAAACATGTACCAAAAAATGCCAAGATTGTAATAAGAGATTATCAGTTATCAAAAAAGATATGATAAATCACGAACCATAGACCTGTCTGCACATATGAAAAAATGGTTTTCTGGAGGATAAACAATTCATGATGATAAGTTATGAACATTTATTACAAATTCCTGAACTCCAATGTGTAATTTGTTCGTCTCAGATATCGAGGATGTATGTGTTTCATTTTTCCTACATTTTTGCTGTTCTTTATGCATATAATATGTTAATTATTATTCTTTACAGCTATAATGCCTTGTAAAATTAGTGTAGAAAAGCCAAACCAAAATGAGAAATGATAATAATATCGAAATTCCATTTAGAACAATGAAAACATGTGAGTGATCAACTGTATACTTTATTCATGCTCTCATAACCATTTTATTTATTTGATACTTAAAATAAGAAATCAAATTTTGCAAAGGATCTATCATAGACCGAATTTGATCTGATTTTAAAAGCAATCTAATGATAGAGCAAAGATGGTTGGTAGGAAACATTAATTTATTATAGTGGACTAACATACCATTCTCTCAATTTATCTTGTGTATTTAAAGGGAAAAGCTTGTTGTCTCCTAAGCAAGAACACAGAATATTTGAAAGATTACCGTTGTGACATCAGATTCCTTAGATAATCATTCATCAATTGTTATTAAAAATTTTTTTTTTTTGAACCTTTATATTAATATCGCAATAAGAACGATTATTACCACGTTCTATCGGCCAAATAATTGATTTTCAACATTAAAAGTTGATGAAGAGAGTTTTCCTAGTTTGATTAAAAAATGGCAGTGGTGATTATATGTGGGATAATGGGAATTTGGTGCCAAATCTTTACCATCTGAAAAGATTGAAGACCGATATCATTTGGTGAGGATCAATCAAGCATTCTCAATGGCTTGTTAAAGCATCATCTAAAGAATGAACAGGCCAAAGATATTAAATTTCACTTTGTTCAAGTTTGTGGCACAAGTGACCAGTTACTAGTTGAAGATTTTAATTGGCTTTATGTTGTTTTTCCTGCAGTAAGATTTGAATTAAAATTGTTCGTTATCAAAAGGTTTACTATACATTTGATATCATGTATTTCTTTGTTCATCAGAAAAATTTGCATGCCTAATCGATTTGCTTTGAGTAAAAATAATAGGAAAGCTATTCATATTTCCTAAACTCTGTCATTTGATGAAACAAAATGCTTATTTTTAATAAAATCAAATAAAATTCTTACTTTCAATGAACTCAAAAAGTATATCTTTTAACAGCAGCAATCGGTAACATACTTTCCTTTATAAATGAAAGGGGTACACAGGTGCTATAAGAGCTTCGTATATATATATCAAATTTGAATTCATAATCTTTTTTAATATAAATAAAAACTGCCAAATATTTATAGATACTTGACGAAATGTTATTTACCACCAAGAGCATATCGATGAAAAGAAAAAAGTGGGAAATCTTGATCACACCAACCGCTCCACGACCCAGCTCCTGTCCTA